AGTCTGCTCCTGAATGTCCTCCTGTATTATTCAGGCACTGTGCTTCAGGTTTTTAACATGGAAACTGTTACCTGCAACGAGGTCTGGGTTACCTTGGAATGCTGACTGTTTTCTAGGGCTGCAACTAATGATTATTTTGCAAATCGATTAATAATTTTTCGAATAAAAATCAGATAGCTAAAGATTCTTTAAAAAATACTTTTTATGAAATTCAAACCAGGTGAAAATCAAACTTTTCCACTTAAGGAGTTCTGGATAGAGCAGATTGGCAGATAAATTATATTTATTTTCATCTTAAATGCAAAATGATGATGTGTGTGTTTTTTTTTTTTACAATCTTATTATAATTCCTGCTCTGAGTGGGTCACTATGTCAGCTAAAGGCATGCTTTAGAGTCTCTATACTCCAGTTAACAAATAATCAATTACTAAATTAGTTGACGATTATTTCAATAATCGATTAATATGATTAATTGTGTGTCTGCATTCTGTGTAGTTCTCGTTCCCCTACAAGGGAAAATAAAGCTCCACCTTATTCGCCGTTTTTTTGTCCCTCTCGCCACTAGGATGTGCTGCAGCACCCCCAGCATCTTAGGTCCGCTGCTTTAGGTGAATGAGGTAATAGCTCCTCCCATATTACTGATTTATGTTGCGTTATTTGACATGTATTTACCTGTAAGGCAAAGAACATAATGTTGGTGTTTAAATTAAATACATGATATCGATAACACCTATACCAGGTTGGTGGCGCTAACAGGCATATAAACAGATAACCAAATTCTGATAAATTTCACATTAATAGTTAAGTGGATGATTTTTTTTTTAATCCCAAAAATTAATAATATCAGCCTAAAAAGGAATGTCAATACTGTAATGTTACTGCTGTCCTCTAGAGGGCGATGTTCATTCTTTGGTGTATTCTTAAGTCATTTTCACTGTTTAATCGATCAAAGGATGCAGAATTAACTTTCTGAGGTATTAGTTGCATACATTGCCTCGCAAAAGTATTCAGCCCCCTTGAACTTTTCAACCTTTTTTCCACATTTCAGGTGTCAAACATAAAGATATAAAAAAATATATATATTTTTTGTGAACAATCAACAATAACTAGGGCGCAATCATGAAGTGGAATGAAATTTATTTCTAGTTTTTAAGGACGTAATGAAGGAGTTGATCTCCGCCTTGATGATGTTGTGAAATGCACCCATCCTGCAGCATCAACAACCTATCGCCAGCTGTAATGCATGGGCCCTGCAGAGGATAGTGAGGGAAATTATAAAGGTTGTGGCCAAAATGTATTTAGTTTTTATAGCTCTGATGTTAAATGTGATTTATTATCTGTTCTCATATATTAATAATAAGGCAATGCAGCTTTACTGGAGAGGTAACATTTTTTTATATTTATGAAGAAAAAAGATTTCAATACACGTGTTTTAGATGAAGTGTTGAAAATAAATGTTAACATTTTGCATTTTCCCCTACAATAGTAATTATTAGTAGAATATACAGTATCTAGTGGGGCGTCACAGTGAAGGTGGTTATGCTTACATTTAGTGACTCGCATGTAATGATATCAGTTTGTATCGGTGTCGGCTCATACTGGAAATCTAAACTTCAGTGTTTAGAATATTGACATCGGATATCAGCAAAAAAAAGGCAATATCGTGCATCCCTAATTATTATTTTTGCTGTTTTATTCTACCTACAGTTTAAAAAAAACTGTGAACTGATTTTAATAAGTAGGAGAAAAGTTTTGGTGGAAAGTTTTTGCTC